AGAGCAGAAGTCGCCGATCATCAATTTTTCCTCTCCGGCTCGTTCTTCATCTTAGTCTGTGGAGTTTTCGCTCTGTTCAAGTTCTCTCAGTCTGATTTTAGCGTTGCGTTTTGTTTCTTATCTCCAGGTGATGGCTCAGAAGCTGAAGGAAGCAGAGATTACTGAGCAGGACTCGCTTCTTCTGGTAAACTACGCCGATCATCATCGAGCTTTTGTTTCTTAACGATTCGTGAAATTTCTAGTTCCTTCCTTGTGATTTTCGCAGATATTGATCTGGATTTCAGATCTCGTTCTATTATACTTATTTTTTCGCTTAATCTGAAGAATCGTGAACTGTTTCTATGTTTTTTACGCGTTAATCAGCTGGAGTTGTTGCTCGTTTACACTGACGTCTTTGTTTTGGTTTTCGTTTTGTTGAAATAGACTAGGAATTTGCTTCGTATTGCTATATTCAACATCAGCTATATCAGAGGACTCTTTCCTGAGAAGTATTTCAACGATAAATCGGTTCCTGCTTTAGGTGAGACAGACGCTAATCTGGAAGTTTCTAGAGCTCTTTGGCTTTGGGATCTAAAGAAATCAAGTTAAATTTTCGATTTCTGTAAATATTGAAACTAATATTTGGCGGATGCTTTTGTAGATATGAAGATTAAGAAGCTAATGCCTATGGACGCTGAATCTCGCCGATTAATTGATTGGATGGAGAAAGGTTTTCTATACTAATGATTTTGGCATTTAACGCTTCGTTTAATTGTATCGTTGTTAAGATTTGGTGATCTTGTTTCTTATCATGGAATCTAGGAGTCTACGATGCGCTTCAGAGGAAATATTTAAAGACGCTCATGTTCTGCATATGTGAAACAGTAGATGGTCCGATGATTGAGGAATACGCATGTAAGTTCTGGCTAGTTGATTGGTTAGCTTTGATAATTAGTGTGGCTCACTGGTGGATTGTGCGATTAATTGAACCTCACACCTCCCTGATTAATTGGTGTATGCTTTGATTAGTGTACTGTTTTTGCTAAATCGTTTTTAAGCTGAATTTCAATGCTCTATATATCCATTATCGATTGATGAAGAGTCTGTGTTATTGCAGTTTCTTTCAGCTATTCAGATTCTGATAGCCAAGATGTCATGATGAATATCAATCGTACTGGAAATAAGAAAAATGGAGGAACATTTAACTCCACTGCTGACATTACTCCAAATCAAATGAGGTGTAGTGTTGAGATATTTCTTTCCTACTTTGAGGTCTATATAGTTTTATCTTCCGTAACAGGCTTTATAACTTTTCATGATTGTGTACTGAAATCAGGAGTTCAGCTTGCAAAATGGTTCGTACACTAGTTCAACTGATGAGGACTCTTGACAAAATGCCAGATGAGGTAATGAATATTGTAGATACTCTTCAGGGGAATTTCATTAAAATCAGTTTCCATATTGCTGATTACTGAGATTACTACTTTTTTGCTTCTGTTTCAGCGCACCATAGTGATGAAGCTTCTGTACTACGATGATGTGACGGTATGATTACAGCCTTCCTGAATTCTTTGAACCCTGGTGATGTTTATTATGATCTCAATGCAACTTCAGTAGAGCTTCTTTCGCCTAATAACTCTGATTTCTAGATTAGCATATTATCATTCTTATTTTGTGAATGTGACTTTCCTCATTTACTGATTGATTCTACAAACTTATAACACATACAGATTAGCTTTGAATTTGTTGTGTTGGCATACTAGTGTAGCAGTGTTTGCTTTCTTTTGGAATAATGTCTGTATCATTCAATCACTTTTCTCTACTCTGAAGAAATTGATTGCCCACAAGAAAGACTGAAAGCTGTAGTTTGAACCTTTTTGCAGCCACCAGATTATGAGCCACCTTTCTTCAGAGGGTGTACAGAAGACGAAGCTCAGTATGTATGGACAAAGAATCCTCTGAGGATGGAAATTGGGAATGTTAACAGTAAACATCTCGTGTTAACGCTAAAGGTAATTTGATTGAAGAATAATGCAACTCGCTCTACATGTTTCTCGTCTTATGATGTCAATTCATTGTGGATGATCTGTGCAGGTCAAGAGCGTGCTTGATCCTTGTGAGGATGAAAATGACGACATGCAAAATGATGGGAAGAGTATTGGACCTGATTCTGTACATGATGACCAGCCTTCTGATTCAGATAGCGAGGTTAACAAAGTCTTTATTTGCTCATCTGATTTTTACTCAGATTTTTTACATCCTATGTGAATTACACTCCACTGTGACTAAAATGTAATGCTCATTGTTGTTTTCAGATCAGTCAAACACAAGAAAATCAATTCATTGTGGCGCCAGTAGGTAATGATGACTAACAAATCCTTGTATGCTTCTGCCAGTCTAGTAATGTTTTCACTCACCTGAGTTAACTTAATAATCTAACAGAGAAACAAGATGACGATGATGGAGAGGTTGATGAAGGTAACTTATTATACAAATATTACCGCAAATTTTGATTTCACAGTATTTGAAAAGCTTTCTTCTAATTTCACCAATCTGTTACATGCTCCAAGATGACAACACACAGGATCCGGTTGAGAATGAACAGCAGTTAGCAAGGGTAAAGGACTGGATCAACTCCCGTCACCTCGATACCCTGGAGCTCACAGATATTCTTGCAAACTTCCCAGATATCTCAATAGTAATGAGCTGCTACTCTTCATTTCTACCTTAGAAAGTGTAACTGAGCTCTTGCATATTTAGTTTCTGCCATTTCTTAAATCTAAGCCACTATTTTATGATTTCAGGTTCTATCTGAAGGTAAATCAAGCTTGATGATGATAACTAGGCAAAAACACGCTTGAAGCATCATCATATGATAATTAATAATACAGTTTGCTAATAGCTATCTGCTGTTAACTTCAGAGTCTGTCTTCCTATACTAACTGGTCACATTCTGACTTTTAGAAATCATGGATCAGCTCGTGACAGAAGGTGTTCTTTCGAAAACGGGGAAGGATACGTACATTAAAAAGAGAGACAAGGTGATTATGTCATCCTAACTTCTACTGATTTGATTTCATTTACTGATGACTTTCTCCTTTGCTTATTAATTTTGTTTTCTTCCAACTTAACCCAAAATTTTAGCAGACACCAGAGAGCGAATTCACTTTTGTGAAAGATGAAGCTGATGTTCAAACTGTTCCAAAGGATGGGAAACCTGTAGCTCCTGAAGACTACTTGTACATGAAAGTAAGAGACTCTGACTTCATACTCTATGTTTAATACACTTGCACCAAGGATATATAAATAAAGATAGTCCTGAGATCAATGATTGACTACTTGTACATGTTTTTTTTTTTGTTAGGCTCTATACCATTCTCTTCCGATGAAATATGTGACGATTACAAAGCTTCACAACATGCTGGATGGTGAGGCCAATCAGACTGCAGTTCGTAAATTAATGGACAGGATGACCCAAGAGGGCTACGTAGAAGCTTCGAGCAACCGCAGGCTAGGTTTGCTACCTCAATTCAGACCCTTCTCTGTTAAGTTTTGTTGGTTGTTGCGTAAATGTTTCCTCATTGATGCAATGTTTATAAACAGGGAAGCGTGTGATTCATTCTAGTCTAACTGAGAGGAAGCTAAATGAAGTCAGAAAGGTTCTTGCCACAGATGATATGGTAATAATAGTTGAAAACCAGAATATATATATATATATATATATATATATATATATATATCTTTGGAACAGATTTCTAATGTGAATGGTTTCACAGGATGTGGATGTTAACGAAGCTGCTAACAAGACCAACGGCCTAGAGGGCAAAGTAACCGCAGGTACGACCTTGTTCGCACTCCGCACCCAAGCTTTGAGCTGTTTAATTGATCTAACATTTAAAATAAACAGACGTATCTACCTGTGGAGGCATCCACTCCATAGGATCAGACTTCACACGTACGAAAGGAAGATCTGGTGGGATGCAGCAGAACGGCTCTGTTCTAAGTGAACAGACCATCTCTAAAGCTGGGAACACTCCCATTAGCAACAAGGCACAGGTTGAATGAAAACAACAATGAGTGATAGACATATCCTACTGTGTGTGACTCTTTTAAGTATTTGCTAATTTGTTAATTGTGGCTCACTCAGCCTGCGGCTTCGAGGGAGAGCTTTGCGGTAAATGGAGGGGCTGCTAAGGAGGTCGAGACAGTCAATTGTAGCCAAGCCTCACAGGACAGACGTTGCAGGAAAACCAGCATGGTCTCTTACACTAAACCACAACATTACTCTCTATGCTTTTTTAACTTTTTTAAGTTATATATGCTGTAAGAAACTGACATGCCTTTTCTGGTTCTTGTGATTGTTGTTTTATACAGGTGAGAGAGCCAATTCTGCAGTACTCCAAGCGTCAGAAATCTCAGGCTAATTGAAGATACCACCTCTATCAGACACCATATAACCACCTTCCTCAGTGGTTATGATGTTATCTATCTACTCTACACTCGCTTTTTATTGCTTTATTCTTCCTCTGCATTCAGACAATTTACATGCTTGTCTTAAAGTCTCATTTCTTATGGCTTTTGGGAAGACAATTTACTGCATTAAATGGTTGCAAAAAGTATTACTATCAAACTTTAACACTTACTGTGAGTTATTAAAAGTAAATCCTTTAGTAAATTTCCCCTCATTTCTCTAATGCTCTACATCCTTTTTTTTTTTTTTTGTACATTCTTTTATGGAAGAATTTTGGTAACTTTAAGCCAAAAACCTAAAGCTTATACGATCACTACTCAATGGGAAGTATACAAGTGTCCGTACCAGAATCCCCTAGAATATTTTCGTCACAAGGAGCCCACAGCTAAAATTCCAGAAACATCCACACACGACACGCCTTTCTAGAAAACGATTCTTTTTTTGATGCCCCCACAACACCCTCAGATCTAATCACAACCGTTGGATCGCGTCGACAAGTCCAATTCCACTCGTATTTTTAACCACTCCTCACTCCTCAACGTGATGTGAAGATACTTTGCTGTTTCACAACGTCATAAAGAACAGTGACAGGCGCGATTTCTCAAGAAAGCAAATCGAAGAACTCAAACAAAAAAAAAAAAAAAACTAAGGTAAGAGATTATCATCACTTTTGTTCTTCCTTAACTCAAAATTACGATCAGATCGTGATCTCATCGTCTTTCGTGTAGATGGAAACAGAGAAGAAAAACAGCAAGGAGGTAGGGCTAAAACACCTAGGGTTCGTGAGAATTGCAGCGATCCAGATTCTGGCTTCCGTCTCAAATCTCTACGACTACGCTAAACAAAACTCCGGTCCTCTCAAATCCGCCGTGGAAAAGGTGGAAGGAGCCGTCACCACCGTCGTCACCCCTGTCTATCAGAAATTCAAAGATGTTCCAGATTCTCTCCTCGTCTTTCTAGATCACAAGGTAACCCAATTATTAGATTTATTGTTTGATGGATCTCCGACCTAATTTAGAAACCAGATCGTGTTTAGTTGTTAGTTTTGTGGCTAAAGTTCTAACCTTTATTTACTTTTCTAGGTAGGTGAAGTTTCGTATAAGTTTGATGAGCACGCTCCTCCAATGGCTAAACAAGTGGTGAATCAAGCTCATGTGTTGATCTACAAGGCAACAGAGAAAGCTCAAAACTTTGTGAAAGAGGCTCGTACCGGTGGTCCCAAAGCTGCTTTTAGCTATGCTGCGACTGAGTACAAGTATTTCGTTGTGACCAACTCGGTTAAAGTCTGGGCTAAACTTAACCAGTACAAACCAATCCATGCAGTGGGTGACAAAGCTTTGCCCGTGGCTGCACACTTGTCTAGTCGGTACAACGATTTGGTGACGGATATGACTCAGATGGGTTATTCTTTGGTTGGTTATCTTCCATTGGTTCCTGTTGATGACATTGTTAAGGCTTATAAGAAAGAAGATGCAGCACGAAAGAAAGGAGGAGAATCAGAAGAGACGGCTACTACCGATGGAAAGAAAGGAGAGACTGCTAATACTACTGATGGGAATAAATCGTCGTCTGATTCGGAGTAGGATTGAGACATTTTGTGATTTGTTGTTGCTTTGGAAAGTTTGGTTTGTTGGGTTTGGTTATGTGTGTAAATGATCTTAGGAACTCTCCTTTTTTCTTCTATCACAAAACTTTGAACTAGTGTTTCGATATATTTAGCAACAAAACTTCGAAGAACATGAAAAATTGATCACAATTTAAGAATTTATATCAGTATAAAGATGGAGGAGATGGGGAATCAAAACAACTTTACTAATAACCAATGAGCATTATTTCTTTCTCGTTCGTAAAAAAAAGTGTGGAGTTATTATTTGAGTCTTGATACCAAGCTCCCAGACACCTTAAGAACAAATAGAAACAGAAGAGAGTACAATTCCGAGAAAAATTGCTTGAAAACAGACATGCATCCATCCAGGCAGCATAGAACATCTTCCTTCTGCAACAGACAAACAAACAGATCAAAATCAAGTCTCATTTACTAGTTATGCTTAAATGAAGCTGAAACTGTAGATAACTAGGACGAAAGACTGGAGATTCCAAGCACATATGTTAAGGAGAAGAGATGTACATACTCGTCAGCTCCACCCACAATGCGGATAACAACAAAGGACTGAACAGATAATATTTACCATCACACATCAATATAGCTTAGACCCTCAATTTGAACGCAAGTGCAAACACTAATTGTTCAGACCAATTCGTCCAACCGAAAAAGTTAAATCATATATCGACTAACGCAATTTCCTCTACTAACAGAGACAAAAGAATCAAAAAATCAACCAATGCAAATTCCTCTACTGATTATCTACACCAACGCAAATTCTTCTAATGACAGAGACAAAAGCATCTAAGGATAATATACTAGAGAAAAGCCATATTCAAATGCTGAATCAAAATGGTTCCATACAGTAAAAAAAACTCACCATTGGTTGATTAGTCTGAAGATGAGGAAGGAGGAGGAGTGTAGTTGTCCTCAAGAAGATCATCATAAGGATCCCTTCGACCAGCGACCTGACTGATCTGAGGATCCCAACGAAGCTGAGCGTTGTGACGCTCAAAAGTCCAGAATCCATAAGGACGAATAGGTAATGCCCACATCTCCTTAATCTTCTTACACCTCTCATGCATCTCATATATGTGTTCCCTCGCTTTCCTGTCTCTCTCCTCTGGATTCTCCATTAACCTTAGCACCAAGTTCTCCGCAAATTCCATTATGAAACCCATCTCCACTACAAACTCAAAAACACAAAATCGAATTCACCCCAAAATTGTTTTTATATATCAAATTGAAGCACCAAATCTATAAATTGGGCTCTGTGACCTAAAATTACGAAACCCATCTCGTTTCACAATCGATTTCACCTAGAAAAATTAGGGTTTCTATCAAATCGACGTTGATTTCCACAAATTGGGTTCTCTGACCTAAACATCACAGTAAATTCGGTCCCAAATCCAGATCGAGCTTAAGTTTCTATACATTAGAACAGTTAGAGTGCATCAATCTCTGTATTTCATTTATCCTAAGACGAGAATCGATACGAAACTAAGACGATCTACGTAGTAGAGATCGGACCAAAACCATTTTAAAATTGAAATGGGATATACCTTAAGGTTCGAAACCAGACGATGAAGATCGCTGAAGCTTTTGCTTTGGGATGGTCAGAGAGTTCTGATTGAACGCAGCGCAGAGCGAGTGATGATGAAGAAGAAGAAAACAGAAATCTGATAGATACAGAAACTGCGTGTTGTTTTGTACTTAGAATGAGGAAACAAGACGTTTTTATGTTTCAGAAACGGCACGCGCTTTACCGTACCGTGATCAAAAAATATGCCAAATTAAAATGGCCAAGTCCGATTATTGGTGATCGCAATCTTTTAGTATATAAAACAGAAGTCAGTCAGCAATTTTGATTGCGACATGTGTCATCTTTAGTTTTCAATTACAATTAAATTTTTTAATTAAAAATAAAATCTAAACGAAATAAAAAAATAAGAAGATCTATGATCTGTGTTCTCGGTTTTCCACGATTCTGTGATCAACTTCTCACCTCCATCACTTTTATCAACTGATTTTTTAGGAATCACCACATATACTATATAGTATAAGGATTTATATATCACAGCCGATTAACACAAACGCTCCACCACTCACATTCCTCAAACCACCGTTGACATTATTTTTTAACTAGCAAGACAATTTTCAAAATCTTGGAACTTTCCCTCTTGCTCGACCACAACAGTTCATCTTTCATCCTCATCGTTTATTTGTTCATTTCAACATTAATAACATGTAATGTTATTAATCAAAGGAACAAGAAGGTAGCCGGAGCTAAAAGGTAGGGAGAATGTGTGATATATAAATCCTTATACTATATAGTATATGTGGTGATTCCTAGAAAATCAGTTGATAAAAGTGATGGAGGTGGGAAGTTGATCACAGGATCGTAATTCTCACAAATTATCTGGTTCCTCAAACGATGAGGATGAAACATGAACTGTTGTGGTCGAGCAACAAGGAAAGTTCCAAGATTTTGAAAATTGTCTTGCTAGTTAAAAAGTAATGTCAATGGTGGTTTGAGGAAGGTGAGTGGAGGAGCGTTTGTGTTAATCGGTTGTGATATATAAATCCTTATACTATATAGTATATGTAGTAATTTCTAGAAAATCAGTTGATAAAAGTGATGGAGGTGGAAAGTTGACCACAGAATCGTGGAAAACCGAGAACACAGATCATAGATCTTCTTATTTTTTATTTCGTTTAGATTTTATTTTTAATAAAAAAAAAAAAAGAAAACGAAAAAAATTGAATTGTAATTGAAAACTAAAGATGACACGTGTCGCAATCAAAATTGCTGACTGGTTTCTGTTTTATACTTCCTCCGTTTCATAATGTAAGGCGTTTTGGATAAAGTACTTTGTTTCACAATATAAGTCATTTTCGAGTTTCAATGCAAATTATATATTATTTAAATATTTTATGATTATTTATATTATGCAGTCTCTTTTATGATTGGCTGAACTTTTAAAAAGTAGATCTTCTTAATCTGCGTGTTTTTACCTAAAACGACTTATATTTTGAAACGGAGGGAATATAATAAAAGAATGGTATCAGACTAAATAGAATGATTTAGTAAATTTTGCGTTTAAAAGGAATCGATTTCTAGACTAAACCTACGTATCAACTTCTGTTCGAATAAAAACTAGTAGACAACTACTACTTGGTTAAATCAGTAATACTTCTCGTCATTGTATGAAGATTATATATGCGTATCGGATTTCGTTTTACTTTTTCTTTTTCCTTTTTGGGGCAAAAAGAATTTCGTTATACTAAATTCTTTGTTTATAACATTACATGTAATAGTTTTCACAAGAATCACAACGCGACTCTAAAGTGTAAAATGAACTAAAAAAAGACCAGATGAGTGGCCACAACTATCACAACGATTAAATTATTATTTTTCGACATCACAACATTTAATTTCTATTTCTACCTAAAAGGCCACAACTATATTATGTGTGCGTATATCATTTGAACTAAAGCTGGCAGTTCTAACAACTATCAATAAATGGGCTGGGCCTCTTTGTAGCACCCCACCCTCACCATTAATCTACTTTTATTTTCTCAAATTTCAATTAAGCTGGTACATATATTTTCTGAAACCTGACCCCAAAAATAAGGTAAATAAACAGAAAGGTCCAAAAGAATTTTTGATTGATTGCAATAGAAGCTACTCGTTAAATGAGTCAATCTTGGCAGGTGATTCAGAAAAATTTAACCGACTAAATCAGTATATATATATTCATCATATTTAATTGAATTAATGCAAGCTAGTTTGGTCCAAAACATATTAGTCTACGTACGTCTTTAAGAACATAGGACTAGGTTTTATGGGGGAAAAAATAGCCTTTATAGATTAGCTTAAGCTAATTGCCTAATTATACACATTGCGACTTGATTCGCATGAATTAGATTTACATAGGACGTCAAATAGTTAGGCCAATTATGAAAAATATTTTTCAGTCAAAAATAACTATACTATTAAAATCACCATTTTATTTTTATTATTGTATACTCTTTCACATTTTATGTTCTATACGGAGTATTTGTTTTGTTTATTCCACGCTAACCATACTTGAATATTTGATACTTTACTAGTTCCGTTACCTATGTATTATGTTCATCATTATTCGTTCTGCTATGACCAATTGGAACATTGTAAATAAGTTACGTTAAAATATTTTTTATTTTAGCAGCATTGCTTTATTCTTTTATGTTTTCTTACTTTTATATTTTATGCTTTATTTTATTTCTCAAAGACTATTTGATTAAAATGCTTTGTGGGTGGGTCTAAAGTTTTTTCTTATAATCCCACTTCCCTCAAAATTCTTCATTCTCTCCCACTAATACACTCCTCTTTGTTCCCTAATTTGCTTTTTTTTTTCTCTCTAACGTTTTCTGACAAAAAAAATCATAAGTTTTGTTCTTTGTAAATGTCTGATGTTTTGTTCATTTGGTTGTTAATACTCTACGAATTTCGTCTGAAATACGAACTTTACGATTTAATTATCTATACGAAAGAAACATTTTAAAATCTATTAACAAAATACGTTTTCTTAGTTCCCTTATTTAGTGGTAAAAGTATATATGCGCAATAATGATTTGAAAACAAATTGTAAACCAATGATGATGGATTGATGGGTCCATGAAAGAAAACATTTGTGTTTGTCAGCTAATATTGTGGTTGTGGAGACAATAACGTATCAAACAGGGTCCACGATAATTTATTTAAAAATCAGAAATTTAACTTTCTGTTAATCCATTTTTGATTTGCAGTGAGGTTTTCCCGGTCTACCTAATTGAATTACGAAAAAGGAAAAAGAAAAGGCACGAATTACATGAAGAAAAAGAAAGCTAATAGATTGCACACCCCATGATGCTTTGTCACCCATTAATCTTAAATTTATACTATAATTTAATCACTACTTATTTTAATTATGAACTGTTGCCTGCTGCTGGTATGAGTATCGACAATATTTAATTTTAAGATACAACTTTACCTTGAAAGCTAAATCTCAATTATCAAGTCACGTTCATGTGTTTATCAAATCATTGTCGTGCGGATTTAGTATGTCCAAACCCTTTGAATTAGCCATTAGGTGTGGTCAAAATATCCATAATGAGTAGTAGTAACTTCTCAAATTTGTTAGGTCAAATTGCCAACCATCAGGGATGTGCTTTTAGTCAAGTGGTTAAGTCCATTTGACTCCGCCTTCTCCACGACTCCACTATGTCGCGTTACCCCGCGTAGTAGGGATTGACTATAGATCAGGTCTTGTCGATCCAAAGATGTCAAAAAAAAAAAAAAAAATTGCCAACCATCTAGATAACTAGGTTAGTTTCAATATCTACGAAAGTTCATTAAAAGGTGTAATTGAATGTTCTAAATTCAAATATTAACAAAATATATTTTTATTAACTTACTTACGAACTTACGTACTAACCCCTAATTCTTTTCTAATCCCTTTTGCTAACATTCTCGTTTTCGTTTGATCTTGAGTCTTGACCATTAATTAGATTGATAACAAGAATTATCGGAAAAAAAGGAGAACACTAACATTCTTTAAGGAAACTTGACCAACGTTTGCAACTTGCAAGCGTAGTAAACCTTTAAGGAAACCGGGGAAATAGGTTATTCGTACTCAATGAAGACGAGACACCACCATCAACAGAAGTTAACCCATTCAATTATCAGGAGGCATAATTGGAACTCGAGATTCGCTAGTTCATTTGTGAAGATAACCTCACATGGGATGATGAGAAACTTGAATACCAACTTGCAATAATACTAAGTAACAAGGAAACTTGAATACCAACTTGCAATAATACTAAGTAACAAGGTGAAAGAAGAAAAGAGAAAATTTTGGAGGTGATTGAAAAAGGAGACACGAATAAATGTGATCTGGAAGTCTTCAGCTCAGCCCTGAGAAAGACATTACATATTTCTAATTTCTATGAATGCACACTTAATTTGCAAGGCCACCCTCAAGTCAAAAGAAGTGTGCCTCCAACTCCAAGGCTTGAAGATCAGGGAACATCCACAATAAGATGCCTTATAGGATGTGACACATCTATGGAAGCTCTATGTGATCTTACGTAAAGTACGAGCACCATTGCCTTCAAACGTTAAAGGAATTAGGATAAAAAATGATGGAGTATGTGAATGCAAAAGCCTAATTCGCGAACAACACGGTAGAACATGTTGCCGGAATAGCAACCTCGATCATGAAGATGTTGGAGTAATGGTTGTCAATATAATTGCTAATTCTCGCCATTGTGCCTAACTTTTCAAGTGACTAAGATCATACGAAGAACATTATTCGCAATAGTTGAGACAATCATAGATGTCTAAAGGGGACAATGACAATGATATAAGAACGCAAGATGATTGAATTCAAAATGGTGTAGGGACATTATGCAAACCACGAGGGAAACCTAATGCGAAACAAGAAAAACTCGACACTCAAGATACAAGTCAAAACCTTATCCTCAGCTATTTGGGATAATAAAAGAACTAGCAAAACCAAACTCAAAATCAACAAAATTCGAATGTTTATAAGAAGAAAATTTGCCAAAAAAAAAGAAGAATAAAGAAATTTATAGATCCTCCGACAAAGATAAGATGCAAAGTATATAAAAACTAAATTAAGACTTTTAACATGAAAAATAAAAGCCGTTCATTTTATAACTCTTCTTTACAATAGATTGGAATTACAAAAATTACTCTACTCGATACTCGATAGTAATATTTTTATCCAAATCTTTTCCACTAATAGAAAGAAAAGAACGAAACTAGCTTCCGTTTACCTCATCTCTCGTTGATTTTTTACTATTCAAAGCAGCCGTTACATTGCCGTTAACTCATTTGAAGCAAAACATTCTCACCGTTACCATTTCCGTCAATCTGAACGTTACCTTCTCCACCGTCACCTTCCTCTAGCCACCGTTCCACCGGAGCACAATCCATTTTATGCCGGAGTTTCCAATCTAAAGCTTGACAAGCGCGTGAACAATAATTCACAACGCCACAAACCGAACACCTCCTAAACTCATGCTTCCTCGTCTCCGGTCGTCCACATCCAGCGTGTGAACATAATCTCAACCCATCTCCGGGACAATCTCCGCCGCGTACGGCGAACCAATCTGCTAAAAACCTATTCGCCGGATGTGTTTCCGGTGCCGGTACATTACATCCAAAATCGCTAAGTAAAGGACAAGACTGACCATGGTTAGGAACCGGAGGTGTCTGTGATAAAGAAAGCCACGTTGACCTAGCTTGGATACCGGAAGATAAAACGGCGGCGAGTTCACGAGCGTTGGCTTGAACAAGAAACCTCCGACCTTCAGAGACGTTTTGAGGAACTCCATAACCATCTTGAAGACAGTGACCAAGCTCACGAAGCGCGTCTACGTGACCAAGAAAAGCCGCACGCGCACATAAAGCAACACCGGCTCGAAGATCTTTATCGTTCTTTGAACCACCGCTTCCGTTGAACTGAATCACGGCTAGAGAATACAACGCCGGCGCGTGAGAACTAATCGCGGCTTTAGCCATTAACGACGCGCCGTTTCCTCTGTTTTGTAAACAATAAAACCGAATCTACACGAAAATGGAAAAAAATATCAAAACTTCAGAAACTTAACAATTTTCACGAGACAATAAAATAAAATGAATTTAGAAACTTACCATTCCTAGAGTGTAACAAGCTTCAAGACTTCCGGCGTCGACACACCGTTTTAAAAACCGGTGAGAATATTCCGACCAATTGTGAGCTTTAACAGCGATAGCTTTAGGAGATAATCTGGACAAGACAAGAGGATTCATAGCTAATCCTTTTAATCTCTTACATCTGTTCCCCAAAAGAAAACACAATCAAAATTAGAGAGACAAGAACCAACTCTTGTGTACGAAAACCGACAAGAGATAGCCAGAAAAAGCTTACGTCATCAAAACGTTGATGAAATCAGCAGGACATCGAGAAGTAGAACCAAGTTTACAAAGTATAGAAACAACAAGATCGTCGGGAATTGAATCTAGCAAATCGGCTCCGGTTGTGTGTTCCGGCGCCGGAGAAACAGAAGAAGGAACAACACATCGCCGGCGTTTTCTTCCCGGAGTAAAGTCACCGGAGAGAACTCTCTTTGTTTTTCTTGAGGGTAACATAATCTTGTTTGTCTTTGAGGATTACACAGAGTCTCTCTTATCTTTTCTGTCTATCTTTTTTATCTCTTTGGCTTATAAATATACAAAGAGTGGTTGAGTCTTCTTCTCTATGCGTACATACGTATGCGAAGTTGAAATGACGGATTTGCCCTTGTACTTTTGTCTTATTACCCGGTCAAAACGTCGTTGACCCAATGTTCGCTTTTACGTAGCTTCAAGAATATTTTTTTTTTTTTTTTTTTTTTTTTTTTGCTTCAAGAATATTTATGAGGTTACAATAAATAAGTTAAAAAGAAGAGAAATAAGAGGATCTTTATTTATAATTCGGAACAGTTTTTCTTAAAGGGTAAAAATGAATTTGAAAGTAACTAACTCCGATTATTAATTTTTAACTTTTCACCGCGGAAAATGCTTAGTCGCGCGTGTGAATCACGCTAATGGAAGAGCGAATAAGGGATGTATGTAACAAATTAAGGGAGAGAGAGGCCAAACGTAAGGAATCAGCCAATAATATTTTACAACGGTTACTTCTTTTTTATCTTTTTGTGGCCGTTTCTCCTCTATGACGTTACTTTTTTTTTTGTGTAACTTTTGGTATTTTGCTATTTTTTTCCTAGAAATAATTAAAAGGTGAGAAAAAGAAAAGTTTGCATTTGACTCAAAGAAAAAGAAGTAAATTTGCATTTTAAAAAAAAAAAAGGTGGAAACTGCTTCCGAAACCAAAGAAACTGCAACAGTTTAACTAATTTTTATATTTTCTTGCAAAGTTAGAATAATTTGAAATGTTTATTTAGAATTCACCATATTTTAGCTCCGTCAAAACATTTTGGAAAAATTAGCAAGGGTCTAATTAGACATATTAATTAGTGCCAAAGTTTATGGCTAGTTCGGTTTAATTCTAAAAAATATAGGACTCGAACTTAAATATATGTCCAAAAATAGGACAAAATTCGTTACGATTAAAAAGGTACTGAAATTTAGTCCGCGTGGACTTGTACCAGCCCAAAAAACTTTTAAAAGTATTTTGTTTCTCTTTTATACTTGGTTGGATAGATTTATATGTTATAATGTTATTCATATTTACTTAATATATTTTTAAAAATTTATCAATGATTTATATAATTTATACATGTCAAAAATTAACAAAATTTTAATTTTATTTATATACATACAACTTGATGACGAAAAAAATAGAATGCATTAAAATAGAAGAAGATTTAGAATGTACTGAAGCGGATTCAGATCATGGCTCTACAACATAATGTAGTTTGAAATCTTTTGTTTTATATATTTTTGGTACAAATTTAAATAATTTACATGCTTTTTATCTTTTTGTTTTTGGTTTTGAATGGATGTTGCGGACAAAACGGTCTATTTTGTCAGCGTTTTAGTCCACTCTATTTTTAGAGCGGATAACAATCCGCCGTATACCAAATTTGTTTATTTGTAAAAGTGGTCTATAGTTGATCTACGGCAGATATTTTTATTTGCTTTAAACCGAACTACTACAGACTATAATTTATGAATGGTAAATAAAAAGCGATCTAATCCACAAACGGATTTGTCTGTCCCAACTATGAAAACCATTCGAACCCTTTAAATTAAGTTGGGTTGGATGATTACTAAGTTTCATTAGTGAAAATAGCTAATGAGTTTTTAGAATACTAAAGTTTCATCAATGAAAAAGTTAATGAGTTTCTAGAATACTAAGTTTTATCAGTGAAAATATTTAGAATAAAATAAAAATCATCAATAAAACATAAAATGAAATAAAAAAAACAAAACAATAAGAAAAAATGATCGACCATCATGGCATAGACACCCAAAGAAATGGCTAGAATTGCTGAGAGAGAGACATGAGAATGTCGAATGAATAAAATTTTTAATAAATTTGACAAAATAGCGTGTTTAATTTTATCTAAACAGTCAAAGAAAATTTTTACATTATTTGATCACAATAATTTTCATCAATAACATGTACTTCATTAATTAAATATGGAAAAACCAAGAAATAAATTATAGGAGTAATTTATGTCGGATTGATGGATTGTCGGAATAAATTATGTCGGATTGATGGCTCTTGGAAATCTTCGGATCTAACTATGGGTATAGGATTGTGGTGTTTTCAAAGAACTGATCAAACTTTGCTACTTGGTGCAAAATGCCTTCGGAGATGTCCCTCCCCTCCCCCCCCTTCATTCGGAGTTGGAAGCTTTAATTTGGGCTATGAAAAATATCCTTTCAAAAAGGATTTGAAACAGATTGTTCTGAGTTAGTCTTGATGGTTCAGTCTCCTGAAGAATTGCCCGCATACTCCAATCTGCCAGACGATTTGGAATTGCTCTGTGTCTCCTTTCCCCTTTTATCGCTTTCTCTTATTCCTCGTCTATGTAATGTTAAGACGGACTGTTTAACCCGTTCTTCTAGACTTCTATTTTCTGATGTTATTTTTGTAAACTTTTCTCCTCCTAGTTGGAAAACCAATCATAGAGTTACTTTTTAATGAATGTGTGGTTGACAAAAAAAAAAAAAATTATAGGAGTAATTAGTAATAAATCACAATATTGCCATTTAGTTAAGTTCAGTCTCATTCCTGGCTATCTAACAAATTTTTAGTCTATTTTTAACCCCTTTCCCGAAGAAGTAAATCCATCGAACCTCTTTCCTATTAACTTGTCTTTACTTTATTGCAAAAGTCATCCCACGCCTCTTTCCATCACCTCTATTTTCATTTTATACATTTTTAGTGCGTGTTAATGCCACCTCTACTTTATCATGAATAGCTTAACACATTAACTACTTTATTATGAATAGCTTAATACATTTTTATACATCGGTGTTAAGAAAACAAAAAGGCTTAACACATTAACAGTATGCGATTACCCATATATTATTTCTAAACTCTTTAATCTTTATTGTTCAATACAAAAAAACTCAAGTACATCAAATCTAAACCGACTAAATTTTAAAATATTAGCATTTTTTAAAAAGTCGGAAAGTTGAAAAGACGTGTAATTTGACAAGGTAATTAACTAATAATATACGTAATTAAGACATAAATATAGTGATTATCAACAAAGAACGTTAAATAATGGTTCTCAAGGCAACCGATTCGTCGGCGTTAGCTTGAAGGCCTAGTTAAGCTATTAGCTGATTGACGTGAATCTCCACGATCCTCAAGGACCAGTCATCTTATGCCTCTTTGTACTTGTGGGACTCACTTGTCTCCCCCATCGGTTCTCTCTCATAAATTTCTTTGTTTTTTTTATCTTTCATCTTTTTACGAATCTCGTAAGTCGTAAGAAAAACAAATTAATACGATAATAATAATTCCAACAAATAGAAGAAAAAACATCATCCTGTATTCCTGTCACAAATCTCCTAGGTTGTAAATAAAAAAACAAATCAATATCAAAAATGACGTTAACAAAATGTTTTCTATGTAAATTTTGTATGTGATTTGCATAGTATTTGTCATTTCTGGGTCAGTTTCTGTTTTTTCTCGGTCCGCGATCAACGGAGAAAATATACAGTTGAAGGATGAAAAGTTAAACGAGTTCGACAATAATATCGATGAAATGATAAAATGGTTATATATATAACATTGTAGAACGGTCTAATTATCTTTGAAGCCGACGTGATTTGACATTAGTTTGTGCACAAACAAGATACGTCTCTAATAATATAAAATTTATTTACGTATCAGTTGACCTTGAGACTTCGTTGTTACAAGAATGATCCTTTTTATGAATCTACACATATCTAATGCTTTAGTTGTTAGTTACTTCTCTTAAAAGAAACGAGAAATCCATATGTTAATACTATTTTCTTTGATTTTCACCTTTAAGGCTTTAATCACTATAAGATCTTATCGTGTGTTTTTTTGTTTTGTTCAGAGCTTGAGAGAATTAATAGAAATGAACATGAAATGAATAAGAAGAGTGTTTGATGTAATCATGTAAATAAATAAATAATAAGAAGAGTGTTTTAGATATATCATATATATGCATGTAAACCAAATCTTTAATCTATAAAAAAATTAAATATTATACTAGTATGTATACTTTACATTTTACTAATCATTTATCCCTCATACTTGTACACTACCTGTGTATATCCGTATGCTAGTTGATTCGGCAGGTGAGTTATCCTAAAAATAAAGATATCACATATATCATATATATTTGAAAAAAAAAAATTACAGTAAGATCGTATCCATTATTTTTTGTCTAAAGATGATTTTTGGTGATTTATTCTTTACTTTTTCTCTGTTTTTTTTGTTGGTTTAATTTTTTTTTCCACTTCTTTTTTTTTTTTCACTTCTTCTTCGTATTTCTTACCTATTCAAATTTATTTTTGGTTTAGAAGATAGAGAAAAATAAATTTCTATGAACCGCTTTAGGCTTTAGTTGTGTGCATATTTGGCGCTCTTGCTCCTCACGAGTTCGTCTTGTTAGTAAAAGAACGAATAGGTGATGTATTCTTAAGATCGAATATATATATACCCTAATCAAAACTTATTATAAAAATATATATGTCATTTATTTTTGTATGGGTATAAGATACTATAAGGCTCCGAATGGAGAAAGCGTATCGGGCGGAGCGGATCAAGCGGATCAGGCGTACAAAACAGAACAAAAGCGGATCAAGCAGATCTAGCGGTACAAATGCGGATCAAGCGGTTCGAACGCTTTAAAATATGTGTTGAATGGTGAAAGCGGATCAGACGGTGCAGATAAAATATTTATATTATAAAAACGTTAATTTTAAATAAAATATTCTACATAAATTAAAATTATTTATAAATATGTTTTATGTATGTTTCTAATTATATTATGCTAATATTTTGAATTATACCTGAAAATATATTTATCAGTATTATTACTATGTTTCAATAAATTTAAATGTATTAGATTATAATGAAATACTTATAATACATACATAAATCCATATAATTTATTGTTTATTTGTGAAATAAAATAATATACATAAATGATATTAGTAAAACTATAAATGATGTGTTTTATACTGATTACTAAAATAATTTATGAATATATTACACATTACAAGTTA